AAGGTATTGTAGTTTTTATGAAGTAGTATCTATGAATATTGCTTGTATCAATGCCAGAAACATCCAAACCGGTAGGTAATATTTACAAAGATTTATTTGAACCAGAGGATACACCTGGAAGCAGGATCTCAATAGACTGAGATAAATGCTTAAGACATAACAGTTTGCAGTTTCTTTTATGCATTTGAGATTAAGGAGGGAAGATAAGGAAGATTACATGAAAGTGGGAGGAGAGTGAGATGGGATTACAGAATAGTTAAGATTATGTGCTTGGAGTTGGTCTCCTGGAGATTAGATTACAAGGTCTTTAAGATTATGAGCTCTCTTGAGGGTGGTTAGAGTTTAATTCAGTAGTGAGTTCTAGTAAATGCAATGGACAGGGCTTGCTTAAGGCAAAGATAAACCTTTCACTAAAAAGTTATATGCCTGGGCCATGACTACTCACCCTGACCTGCCCAGTTAGGAATTTATGATCAGATCACCCTGTGAGTTTACTTTCCATAGAACACTGTTTACTCAGGGTTATATATTATTTAGTTATTGCTTTCCTAGCCTTCACCAGATGCAAGCTCCAACAACCTTTCTCCTATAGGCGCAATTCTGCAACACCTGTACCAATAATTTCATTGCCCAAATTAACAAGTAGATAGCACCTACAAATAGTTTGTGGCCTCCAGTCTGAATCTGAGTTTTAGTGTTCTGGGCAAAGCCCTTTGCTGCTTGCTTTTGCAGTGAGGGGTAATCTGCCCAGTAATTCTCAACATACAACTTCCTGCTGGGACTGCAGCCTTGACTCAACCTCTATGACATTTACCTGGTGCTCTGATCCTCTTTCTTTTTTTCTGTTAATGTGTTTTCCTGGGGTGATGGGCCTTACTTTCAGGCCCTCTTTCAAATGGGACTAAACTAACTTCAACCAGAATATTTGACCAACAGAATACAGCTATTCTCCAGAGACTCATCGTATAGTGCCCTGTCTTCTTAGACATCTCCTGAATATCAGCCTAAGCCTGGGCTGGGTTCAAATTTACACTCCTCCTTAGGGACCAGCCCTACTGCCAAGTTCATACCCTTTGCTCCAATTCTGCTGGTCTAGCTAACTCTCATTCCTTTTTTTCTGCTCCTGACAGCACAGCATGCCTGAGTACAGTTTAATGGGCTGAGACACATTCCTGAAGGTCCCGGAAAGAATGAGATAATGAAGATACTTGTGAAGGCTGCTATGTTGTGGGATTTAACCTCTTAAACAATTCTGTGTTCTGGGGAAGGATGTAGAACGTTAGTGGGAGTAAAAGTTTCATATGACTCTGTGAGGACTTCCACAAATCCAAGGATTTTCCTTTGATAGTCATAGTAGAAATAGGACTCTACCCTCAAATGTGTAGAATAATGCTCATTTATGGAAGGGCTAGGCATTCCCTCCTTGGAATTAAACCATTCCTTTTTTTCTCCCAGCTGAAATTCCTGATATTCATAGATGGATGTCTACTTCTAATATCCCTTTAAGATTAATCAAAAGCTTTGAATCTAGTAAATTCTTTGTGCCCTATAGACAAGACTTCTCTCACTTGGAGATGTCAGGATTGGGATCCTGTTCCAGAGAACTCAGGCTCACTAATTTACTACAAACACTAGCAAAAATGAAACGATAGAAAGGACAAGGGTAGACATTTGTCATGGAAAGAAAGACTGCTAATTGGCTGGCTATATAGACAATCTCAGGGTGCTTGTGAGACCTGCATGGATTAGGACATCAGCAAAGGGTAAACAAATGGAAATAATTAGCTGATAAGACAAAACAGTATTCCTCAGTGGATTACTTGGCCAAAGGCAGGTGCTTTTCTAATTTTGATAGAACTGTTAAAAATGTTCTCCATAGAGGAAAATGATCTTTTAATATTAGATTTTAATAAATTACTGTCACCGGGGAGAATCTATTACTGCTAAACAAAAAATTAAGAGCAGTTTGGAAAGCCATGTCTACTATCTGGAATATCACAAGTGGAAGATGGGAAGAAGAAGGTATCAGATATTGGTGTTCAGGAGAATATTTTCCAAAATAGTGCTTAAGGATCTGAGCAGGTGACAATGACCAACACTTTGTTTTAAGCCAGAAAAGGTGGAAAGATGTCATCTGTTCACTAAAAAGAATATCTATCTCTGGGATATCATAGTTGTATACATTTTATATGTTTTATGGGATTTAGGTCAAAAGGTATTCTGTACTGTGACTAAGGTTTTCTTCCTTCATTATCAGAAAGTGAAGTGAGCACAAAAAGAACAATAATGCAACAAGCTACATAACCCCAACTGAAGAAAATGTTTTAAAATGTTCATTCATTCATTCAACTAGTATGGACAGGGTACTTATTACTAGGATGTATCTAAGGCACTCTATACAAAGAAAACAAAATTTTCATGGTTCTTGCCCTGGCGGGTGTGGCTTAGTTGGTTGGGCATTGTCCCATGAACCAATTAGCGATACATTCATTGTCTTCCACTTGTACACCTTGTTTCACTGGAGGTCTTCAGGGGCAACAACACACATGGAGCTGTCATCTCCTATGAGAACAATTCTTTCTTCTGGAGTACCTCCTGAAGGACTTGCCTGAGGCTGTTCTTGAGGAGGTGTCCCTCTTTTCGGAAATATGCCCATGGTGGTTTGCTTGGTTTGTTTGTTTTTCTCTTCATAGACTTGCTTGTAAGCAGATAATGCACTATAAACATTACTCCAAATGAAAACCTTTGATGTTTGGGTCCATGTTTTCAGATTCTTTTTAAATATGTTTTTCATTAATTTTAGAAAGAGAGGAAGAAACATTAATATCAGCTGCCTCCCACAGGTACCCTGACCTGGGATAGAGACTGCAACCTGGGCCTGTGCCCTGACTGGGAATCAAACTGGTGATCTTTTGGTGCATGGGACAATGCTTAACAAACTAAGACATACCAACCAGGGCAGTTTTCAAACTTCTTTTTAAAAATATTTTTCTTTATTGATTTTAGGGAGAGAGGAAGGGAGAGATAGAAACATCTATGTGTGCGAGAGAAACATCGTTTGGCCACTTCCTGCACGCTCCCTAGTGGGATTGAGCCCACAACCTGGGTATGCGCCCTGAGTGGGAATCAAACCAGTGCCCTCTTGCTGCATGGGTTGACACTCAACCACTGAGCCACACTGGCCGGGCAGTTTTCAGACTTTTTAAGGAGTTTGTTAAAGCTTCAGAAAGTTTCTGCTACACCCTTCACTGTGAATTTTGTTTAGAGGTTCCTCTTTTTCTTCTACAGTTCCCGTTTCTCTGGTCTCTTCTTCATCTTTGTGTTCCTGTTCCAGCTCCAACTGCTCCTCCTTAGTCAATTCCTCAGAAACTATCTCCAGGGACTCCTCAGTATCATCCTTATCCACACCCAGACTGAAGTTGTTTGTCATCTCAACCACCAGCTTGTTGATTTTTGTAACTTCCTCATTCTTGGCAAATCATTTGAAGTCATGGATGAATCTCTTGAATATCATTTTCCAGATGCCATTCATACACTCCTGGGTGACATCACCTCAAACGCAAGCAAGGCTCTGGATGCAGTCACAGACGTAATCCCTCCAGAACTGCATCCATGTCTTCTCAGTTGCAGCAATAGCCTGGGCCTTAAAAGCTGCTATAAGTCTTTGATCCATTGATTGGCTTTGGCAGGGAGAAACACCACTTGAATATTGGAATGAAGATCACCAATAAAATAATGCCCAGGAACATTATCAACAATAAGTAAAATCCTAAAGGTATGTTTTTCTTCAAACAGTACTTCTCTATTTCATTGGCATAGCAATTCAGGAGGGCATCTTAGAAGAGGATCTGGGTCATTTATGACTTCTTAATTGCTCCTTAGTGCACTAGCAGTGTGTACTTACTGACATACTTGAAGGCCCTGGGTTCTCACTATGCCAAATCACAAAGGGTTCAGTTTATAGCCTGCAACATTGTCCCCAAGCAAGACTATTACCCTGTCCTTAAAAGCCTTGAAACCTGGCATTCATTTAGTTCATTTAGCCTCCTTATGGATGAAAGTCCTTTCAGGCATCCATTTTCAGAATAAGGAGGGAGTATTCATTCACATTGAATACCAGCTCTGGCAAATAAGTTTCCTCCACTATCAACTTATCTAGAGTTTAAAAAAATTCTTCAGCTGCCTTCATTCACATCAGCACTTGCAAACTTGCCACTCACTTTTACATTATGTAATGAATAAGAATTCTTGAATTGTTTAAACCACCCAGAACTAGCAGTCAACTCAACATTGTAGTCGGGCCCAACCCTTTCTATCAACATCGCAAATGAACATTTGACTTTGGTTGTACATGTTATGTTGCTGAGAGGGGTACGCTTCTGTGTCTGATCTTCAATCCAGGTCATTAGAAGTGTCTCCATGTCTGACATGGGCCCTTCTTTAATTTTTGTTAGTTCCTTGCAGCAGTTCAATAAAGCAGATCCTTTAAGAGCTTCCATCACTTTGTTCTTGTTCTTCAATATCTTAGCTATGGTGGGAAGGGACATGCCTGACTGACAAGCAATAACCACCACTGATTTTTCACCTTTGCAGTCCTTAATTACTTTTCATTTTGTTTCCAGGTCAGTTACTTGATGTGGCCTCTTACTGAAAACACTAGCAGTGGATTTTGTATACATAGGGACCACTATGAACAAAACAACAAGAGATTAAATCAAGCACAAGAGAAAATAATGCAACCAAGAGACATAGGAAACAGATGTCTGAGGCTGCTGCCAGCATAATATGGCATATTGTTTTACAGCAAACTTTTTTTTATTTATTTATTTATTTATTTATTTATTTATTTATTTATTTATTTATTTATTTATTTTTATCCTCACCCGAGGACATTTTTCCATTTTTTGTTCAGATAGAGTGGGAGGGAGAGAGAGAGAGAAACATAGACGTGAAAGGGACACATCAAGTGACTACCAACCTCATGACCCAACCAGGGACGGAGACAAACTGCAACCGAGGTACGTGCCCTTAGCGGGAACCGAACCTGAGTCTCTCTGGACCACAGGCTGATGCTCTAACCGCTGAGCCAAACTGGCCAGGGCTATCATTATTTTAGAATACACTCTTTCTACTTATATAAAAAGGTATACTATAGTAAATACATAAACCAGTAAAGCAGTCATTTATTATCATTACCAAGTATTATGTGCTGTGCATAATTGTACATGCTGTACCTTATATGACTGGCAGACCAATAGGTTTGTTCACATGAATACATGATGCATTACATTCCGATGTTAGGAAGGCTATGATGTTACTATGGCTACAATGTCACTAGGTTATTAGAATTGTTCAGCTCCATTATAATCTTATTTGGTCCATCACTGACTGAAACAGGCAGGGACCTGATGCTTGCAGAGTCCTGTGGCTGTGGTAAGTTTATGTTTTAAGCACGATGGGAAACTAATAAAGGAAAGACTGATTTGTGATGGGTGATCATACAGACATTACTCATCTACTACAGGTGGTATAAAAAAAATAAAAGGCAAATTACTTTAGAATGGGATGGGTTTATTGATGTGTAGACTAAGGATCCAAGTAGAACAATGCTCTATAAAGTGTGTCCTGCCTTTTCTTGGTTTTCTTTCTTTTTTTTTTTTATCCTCACCCGAGGACATTTTTCCATTTTTTGTACAGATAGAGTGGGAGGGAGAGAGAGGAAGAGAGAGAGGGAGAGAGAGGAAGAGAGAGAGAGAGAAACATCGATGCGAAAGGGACACATCGAGTGGCTGCCACCCGCACGACCAACCAGGGCCGGGGACAAACTGCAACCGAGGTACATGCCCTTAGCGGGAACCGAACCCGGGTCTCTCTGGACCGCAGGCGGACGCTCTAACCGCTGAGCCAAACCGGCCAGGGCCTTTGTTTCTTTTTTAAACAGAGAGACGAAGTGAGAGGGAGAGAGAGAGAGAAGCATCGATGAGAGAGAACATTGATTGGCTGCCTCCTGCATGCCCCCCACTGGGGATTGGGCCCACAACCTGGGCATGTGTCCTGACCAGGAGCCAGCAACCTCTTGGTGCATGGGTCGATGCTCAACCACTGAGCCGCACTGGCCAGACTTGGTTTTCTTTTAGTTATTGCTTTCCCATTATTTCTGGTACTAGACCTACATTGTAGGTATTTCCAAATGTATATATGGCACTATGTTAGTCCGTGTTCTCTAAAACACAGAGGCCAAGAAGGGATTAAGTAAATGTACTTAATGAGGAAAATTGCTGATGTGATAAAATGGCGAGGGAGCCATCATACTACATGCAAGTCAACTGAGTAAAGGAGAAAGTGAAGAAATTTAGGGTGGAAGCATCTTAGACTACAGAACAGCTTAAGGTGGACCAATGGGTTCTGGATCCAAAGTTGGCCTGCAGAGGCATCTAGCATCTCCTGGGAAAGGCCTGTGAGTACATGGAAACTATATAAAACATTCACTATCATTTTTGTTGATGTAAAAGATATCTCAGTTTAGGATTTGAATCCCAATCAGAAGATAGTCTCAAAGAAAGGCTTTCTATACATTCAATTCTTATATTTTTAATATTTAAAATATATTTAAATCTAAGTAGAGAAAACTACAGATACAAAATCACATTAATTTTGAATATTATTCTCAGAATAAAGAGGCAGAAAATACACAAAGCTCCATTTTTCTTAGGTAATTGTAACTAAATTAACTTTTTTTCTGAAGACAGAAAAAGTATTTTACTCCAAAGAGATATGAAATAATTTTTCAACAACATCCATCCAAGAAAGATCAGAAGGAGGAAACACAGAAGCTTGAGAGCAAATCAAAGTTACTCATAAAGTGATTAGGATATTAGCATTAATTTTTCAAGTACACAACTTTATTATCAGAACTTTAAGAAACAGTAAAAAGTTTCCAACTTCCAAAATATAAATAACAAAGAGAGAATGTAAAAAGAAATAGTAACTATTTTTTTAAACTTATCTTTATTGTTGAATGTATTACAGATATTCCTCCTTTTTCACCTATTGACCCCCTCCTCCCTGCTCCCGCCCCCCTTCTGCCTTTCCCCACACTGTTGTCTATATCCATTGGTTGATTTCTTCCCTCCCCTCACCCCCTTCCCTTTGATGTTTGTCACTCTAACAACCAATTTGTACTTCTTAATCCCTTCACCTTTTTCACCCATTCCCTCAGGCCCCCTCCCATCTGGCAACCAACAAAATGTTCTATTCTGCTTGTTCATTTTGTTCGTAGATTCAATTGCCAATATTGTATTCAATTGTATTTATTGCCATTTTGTTTGTTCATATTTTTTATCTTTCTCTTTAAGAAGACCCTTCAACATTTCATATAGTAATGGTTTGGTGGTGATAAACTCCTTTAGCTTTTTCTTGTCTGGGAAACTCTTGATATGGCCATCAATTCTAAATGACAGCTTTGCAGGATAGAGTAATCTTGGTTGTAGGTTTTTGCTTTTCATCACTCAGAATATTTCTTGCCATTCCCTTCTGGCCTGCAAAGTTTCTTTTGAGACATCAGCTGACAGTTTTATGGGAGCTCCCTTTTAGGTAACTGTTTTTCTCTTGCTGCTTTTAAGATTCTCTCTTTGTCTTGAACCTTTTGCATTTTGATTATGATGTGTCTTGGTGTGGGCCTCTTGGGGTTCATCTTGTTGGGACTGTCTGTGCTTTCTGGACTTGTATGTCTGGTTGCTTCACCAAGTTAGGGGAGTGTTTTGTAATTATTGTTTCAAATAAGTTTTCAATTTCTTGTTCTCACTCTTCTCCTTCTGGCACCCCCATAATACGAATGTTGGTATGCTTGAAGTTGTCCCAGAGGCTCCTTACACTATTCTCATTTATTTGGATTTTTTTTTTTTTTTGCTATTCTGGTTGGGTGTTTTTTGCTTCCTTATATTCCAAATCAATAGTTTGCTTCTTGGGTTTACCTATTCTACTATTGAATCTGTACATTATTCTTTATTTCAGTTAGTGCCTCCTTCATTTCTGACTGGTCTTTTTTATGCCCTTGAGGCCCTCACTAAGTTCATTGAAGCTCTCACTAAGTTTATTGAGCATCCTTATAAACAGTGTTTTGAACTCTGCATTTGTTTGATTGCTTATCTCCATTTTGTTTAGTTCTTTTCCTGAAGTTTTGTTTTGTTCTTTCATTTGGGACATGTTTCTTTGTCTCCTCATTTTGGCTGCTTTCCTGTGTTTGTTTCTGTATATTAGGTAGAGTTGCTATGTCTTCTGGGCTTGGTAGGGTGGCCTATTGTAGTAAGTGTCCTGTAGGGTCCAGTGGCACAGCCTCCTTGGTCTCCCAGTTGGGCCCTTGAGGTGCACCTCTCACGTGGACTTTACACCTTTATTTTGTAATTGATTGCAGTCTCGATGTGGCTTCTTCTTTAATTTTGTAGTTGTAGGACTTCCATTCAACTTGATTTCAGGTGGTTTTGAATGATGGTTGTTCTGGAGTTTAGTTGGAACTTTGATGTGGTTGTGGGAGAACATGATACCACGTTTACTTACTCTGCCATCTTGACCGGAAGCCTCAGTAACTCTATTTTTAAAGAAAGCAAAAAAAAAAAAAATTACTAAGTTTATATGTTTGAATATATAAATTATTTAAATAGTTATTATAGCTACTGCATTAACCCTTAATGAAAGTTGACAAAATCAACCATTTTAAAATTGATTAAATGCTTACATAGTACTTATTATGAACCAAGTCTTGTTCTAAATTCTTTACAAATATTAACTGATTTAATCCCCATAACAGCCCCATGAGGTAGGTTCTAACATTTTCCCAGGGGTACAGGTGAGGGAAAGTTCAGCAATTTTAAGTCAGGCCACACAGTTAAGAAATGGCATAACTAGAATATGAACTTGTTCTTTTACCACTCTGCTAGACTGCCTTCCTAATGACTTTCTGTAGGGCTAAGCTAAGGAAGTCTCAGTATGTAACATCCTTCTTTAAAAAAAAAAAAAATGTTTTATTGATTTTTTGAGAGAAAGATGGAAACATCTATGAGAGATAAATTGGCTGCCTTCTGCATGCCCCCTATATGCCCCCTACTGGGGAATAAACCTGAAACCTGGGCATGTGCCCCACCTGGGAGTTGAACTGGTGACCTCTTGGTGCATGGGTCGATGCTCAACCACTGAGCCACACTGGCTGGGCTGTAACATTTCTCTTTTTAAAATTATTTAACATATACTTTATTTAGAAATAATGTTCAGCTTTTTAAAAGTACTTACCATGTTGTTTGTGCTTTATCCTGCATTATCTCATTTAATCTTTAGAACCATCCTATTAAGAATTACTGCAGGCACACCACAAAGACATTGTGGGTTCAGTTCCAGACCATGACCTTAAAGCAGGTATTGCAATAAAGCAAGTCGTAATCATTTTGCTACTGGAGTGTCTTGCCTTCAATTTGTAAATGCAACATCTGTGAACACAATAAAGTGCAATGCAGTAAAACAAAGTAAATATTGTCCAGTTTTGCAGATGAGAAAAACAAGGCCCAGAAAAATGAGTAATTTGAGATCACAAGGGAATAGCACTGGGATTTGTACTTAGGCTCTAGGACCAGCTTCCGGAACAAGGGGCTATACGGCTTCTTTGATGATAAAAGTAACATGTTCATTGTGAAAAAATAATATTAATGGAAAAAATTAATTATTGCTTGTAGCTTCTTGGAGGATATATGACTTTCTCAAGATTTAACCTGAAACAAATAAACAAAGCTATAATATCTATGGAGAGTAGATGCCTGTTTTCTTGACATAACATTTGGCTCAGTTGAGAGCTCTGTGTAATGTTGAGCTCTGGTGAAAATCTTGTAGTCATGCAGGTAAGCAACTGAGCAATCCATACACTAGTTGGTGAATTTGTGTTAGATATGTTGAATTTGAAGGCATTAAAGGATATCTATATTGAATTGTTCTAGATTGTTCTAGGGGAAAACATATACTTAGAATTTTAAATCAAGATTATTATTTAAATGGCCAGCAGTACAGCAAGGAATGAGGGAGTGTTTGCAGCCAAAGTCTGGAAACTATCACACCTTGATTCTTCCTTCTTTTCTCTCTTTCTTTCTTTCTCTCTCTCTCTCTCTCTCTCTCTCTCTCTCTCTTCTCTCCCTCTTTCTTCTTTCTTTCTTTCTTTCTTTCTTTCTTTCTTTCTTTCTTTCTTTCTTTCTTTCTTTCTTTCTTTCTTTCTTCTTTCTTTCTTTCCTTTCTTTGATATCCATTAATTTCTGGAAATCACCCCATATCAGATCTTAATTCCTTTCTATTATTTATTTATTTTTATCTTTATTGTTGTATTACAGATGTTCCCTCTTGTCCCCCCCCCTCCCCCCGCATTGATCCCCTCCTCTCCGCTCCCACCCACCTCCTGCTTTTCACACACTATTGTCTGTCACACTTTGGTTCTTTATTTATTTCTATTAAAATTTTTTTCTTTATTAATTATAGAGAGAGAAGAAGTGAGAGGGAGAGAGAGATAGAAACATTGATGAGAGAGAACATTGATTGGCCACCTCCTGCATTCCCCGCACTAGGGATAGGGCCCACAACCTGGGCATGTGTCCTGACCAGGAATCAAACCTGCGACCTCATGGTGCATGGGTTGATGATCAATCACTGACCCACACCGGTCGGACACACCTTGGGTCATTAAAACATCCAGATTCCTTGCTCCATTTTATATAAAACTATATCCTGAGACTTCTCTGGTAATTGTTTTGTGGTAAGAGAAGGGAAAGTTTTTGTGGAACATTCAGATGGGGAATATGAAACCAAGTGGCTACTCAATAGGGACACAGAAAAGGACTCTGTTAGGGTGAGCAAACTTTAAATGTCTGTTTGAAAAATAATGATAGTATACATTTAAAAGCATGTTATAATATAAAGCCACATATAAATAAAAATATTTTGTTTCTATAAAGGAGTTATAATAATTTTCTAGGAGAGCAAAGATATTACAGATCTTTTTTTTAGCTGTGATTTAAATTTTAGAACAGGTGACATGAAGATCTGATGATCACGGAGGGGCTGATTTTCTCATCAGCAGGCATTTTGGGGCTTTGGGTCTGGAATGGAACAGAGGTCAGATATAAAGATACAGACTGGAAGATTATTATTATAGAGCACATCAATTGATAAACTAATTCAAGAGAAAAGTGATGACCAATGGTTTTCAGTTTGTGTTGCCATTTGAATCATCTGGAGAGTTTTAAAAACTACTGAGGTAGGCTCCACTCCCAGAGGTTTTACTTTAATTGGTGTCAAGGACTGGCATCAGTTTTTCTTAATGCTCTTCAGGTGATTATAATATGCAGTCAGGATTGAAAACCTTAGTACTGATTGATAGAGATGACCTAACAATGGAATCTACTTAGTTGAAGTGATGTAGAATGTGTTATGCAGAATTTAGGCCCCCATGATGGCCTTCATTCACCTCCTGGGGTTACTTTAGTGAATTTTTTATCTTAGGTAGCAGAAAGGAATTTTGAAGAGGTAATTAAGGCTTCTAATCAACTGATCTTAAGGTAGGGAGCTCATTCAGATATTCAGGTGGACCTATTAAGCCATATGAGCCCTTAAAAACAAAGATCATTCTCTGTCTGATAGTAGAAGAGGAAGTCACATATTCCAAACCTAAGAAGGATTATAAATGCCCTTGTTGGTTTGAAGATGAAGGGGATTGTGTGACAAGAAAACAGAAAACAAAGAACTAAATTCTGTCAACAACCAGAATAAGTTTGGAAGTGGCTTTTCCTGCAGGGCCTTTAGGTAAGAACTGTCAACATTTTGATTTTTGCCTTGTGACACCCTGAGCAGAGAATCCAGGTGACTACTCTGTGCCCAGACTTTTGAACCCACTTTTTGTGATGTAATAAATGATTGTTGTTTTAAGCTGCTAAGTTTGTGGCAATTTGTTGTGACAGCAACCAAAGTCAGTATAGAAAGAACAGATGTACTTGTCCGTTAAGAACTCATTGACTTTTGAGAAAGTAATTTCTTCCTCTTAATGAGTAAGGTACACTTATGACTAAGTCTAGTTCAAATAACAACCATGGCTCATACAGCTTGGATTTGAAGTACAACACCCATTAGATTTAGCCTGATATGAATCATTTCTTATTGAAAGCATTTTATTTTCCAACACACTTAAATCATTTCAGTTGGGTACTGGGTCCTTTCTCAATCAAAATGGCCTCAGCTGTAGCAATATCAGTTCTCATGAAGGCATTTTACTATATGGCTAGGATCTGGAGGTAGATATGGGAACTGAATCCCCTGATGGAGAGCAGAGACACATGGTAAAGATAGGTGCAAATCTTTGAAAGTGACAATGAGACAATCAGTGGGAGCAGAGTGGGCAAAGGTCTACATGTGGTAAGAGGCAGGGATTCCTTCCATTTTCAGCCTGGTTGAGGCTTACAGGTGTGTTCTGGAGGATGATATTGTGGTTTATAGTAAAAAATATATATCTGGTCTTCTTCCCCATTTCTGTCACAGAGCTCCTAAAAACCATGGAATTTCCTAAGTGATAAGAGCTACTAAAATGACTCTTGTTATGTTAATGAGGTGGCTTTTGGATACCAGCTAAGTAAGAGGGTACTGGTTGCCACACCAAACATGTGATTAGAGGGTTGGAACTTTCATTTCTTCCTCTTGACGCACATGTCCAGAGAGGGGAGAGGGGCTAGAGGTTGAATCAATTGCCAATGGTCAGTGATCTATTTATTTATTAATTAAAAAAAAATTCTTCACTCGAGGATATTTTTCCATTTGTCATCAGACAGAGTGGGAGGGAGGGAGGAAGAGAGAGAGAGAGAGAGACAGAGGGAAACATCGATGTGAGAGGCAAACATCGACCGGTTGCCTCCCTCACGACCTGAACAGGACTGGGGATGAACTGCAACCAAGGTACATACCCTTGACCAGAATTGAACCTGAGACTTATTGGTCCGTGGGCTGATATTTTAACTGCTGAGCCAAATCGACCAGGGCACTAGTGATTTGTTTAATCAATAATGCCTAAGTAATGAAGCCTTCATGAAAGCCGCAAGGGACTGGGTTTGGTGAACACTTGGAGATGCTGGGAGAGGGGTGTGCCAGGAGAGGGCCTGAAAGCTGCTTTCCACAAATTTGCCCTACCCATCTCTTCCATCTGGATGTTCACTGCATCCCTCATCATCCTTTTACAATAAACGGGTAAACATAAATAAACTGTTTTCCTCAACTTTGTGAATGGGTCTAGCAAATTAATTGAACCCAAGAAGGGGGCCATGGGAACCTCCAATCTATAGCCAGAAGTACAGGTAACAACCTGAACATGTGACTGGCGTCCTCAGTTGGAGAGGGTCTTTGGAGCCTCCAATTTGTAGCTGGTTATTCAGAAGCTCAGGTAACAACTGGGGCTTGTGACTGGCATCTGAAGTATGTGAGGGGGCACCAGGAAGAGGAAAGTGGCAGTCTTGTGGGACTGAACTCTTAATCTATGGAGTCTGATGCTATTTCCAGGTAGACAGTGTCAGAATTGAGTTGAATGGTTGGACACCCAGTGGTGTTAGAAAATTGCTGGTTTGTATGGGGATTCCCCCCGACCATACACACACATACTTGACATTGGAATTGGGTTCAGGAACCTAAAAGATGTTGTTTTAGAAGAGTGGAAAGAAAGACAGCAGTGCTTAAAAGCTAACTGGGAGAGGGTTGGCCCCTGGGAGAGTAGCTCAGATGCCATTGGGGAAATGAGTGTAGCTGCAGTGCAGCCTGAAGCCAAGGGAGGCAGCACGAACAGAGAAAGAAGCTGCCAAGAAAGCGAGGCCAGAGAGTGGAGCTGCTTGGCCCATACGTACTCAAGGCGAGTTTACCAGTGTCAGTTGTTCAGGAATGATTGCTGACCCCCTCTGGAAGAGAATTGGGGAAGGCTCTTCCATGGATGATGTTATTAGGGCCCGAGTCAGGAAGCACATTTTGGTTACTGTCATGACCTATACACATTAATTTAGAAAAACATCTTTTCAGATCAATAGAGCTTGGGCAGCATCTGTTATATGTTTATAGTTTTTCCTAAGTCCATCTCCAAAATGTTTGTTTGATGGGTAATTCAGGCTCTCACGATTTCTCCAAGTAGTTTCTCCATTAAGTAGGTTCTCACTTCCTTTACAAACATTGAACAAAGGTTCGTTTGGCTTTAGGTTGTAAAAAAACAACTGCTGCTTTCTGTCCCATCTTTGTGGAGTCTACCTTTGTTTCTAGCACATTTACCTTAAAATTCTAGTTCACTTTATGTGTTATGTAAGTATGTATGTTGTGTCATTATCATCGTTTGCTCCAAACTGATAATGCATCATTGACACAAAATGTATGACTGTCTTACATTTCTGGAGTCTAACTTATTTCTGGAGTCTAAGCATATCCTTTCTTTACTTGAAGGTTTTTTTTGTTGAGCATTTCATCTTGTATCTTGGTTCTTACTCTGGCAGCTTGCTTAAATACACATTTCTTGAATCTGTATCTTTTTATTTCCACTGCCATTGATTTATTTCAAGCCTCTATTATTTTCTACTGGGACTATTACAATAGTTTCTACATCTCTGGCTCTACCCACACTTAAACCTATACTGTAGCAGGAATGACTTTTCAATTCTGCCTTTTTCTTTTTTTAATAGGTTTTGTTTTTTAAAATATATTTTTGAGAGAAACATCTATCAGTCACCTCCTGCACGCCCCCTACTGGGGATCGAGCCAGCAACCCAGGCAAGTGCCCTGACAGGGAATCGAACTGGGACTTCTGAGTCCATGGGGTGACACTCAATCTACTGAGCCACACCAACCGGGCAGGAATGACTTTTCAAACTAAAAAACCTAATGATGCTACTTTGTTCCCTTCGGTGGCTTAACATGACTTATTAGATTAATGCCCAAATGCCTCCAGGTAAGGACCAAGTCTGTAGTGATCTGTACCTACCTGTCTAATCTCATCTGCTTGCCTCATCTAAATAAATTTTGCATTTAAGCAATACCAAACTACATGTAGTTGCTGGCCTCTGTGCTTTTGTGCAAACTGTTTATTTTTTTATTTCAGACCTTGTCAGTCAGGTCCCCATCTCTGTGCTGTAAAGCACCATATTTACATCTCTGCTATAGCATTTAGTTTTGTGAACAGCTGCAAACAATGCAATGTCTGTTCGAATCATGAACTTCTGGAGGGCTGGAATTATATCTAGTTATCTTTGTTTATTAAATGAAATATTCAATCTCTAACTGGAATGAATGGTGATTTGGTATATGTCTCATATTGTTAATGTGTCTCCTCTTAAAATGTGCATGCTTTCTTTGATACTAGAAGTATGCCCCAAAGACCATTATGCAGGTACAGGCATTATGTTGGACCTTCTTAGAAATTCAGAATCTGAGGCTCCAGACTTAGCGAATCAGGATCTTCATTATAACAAGACCCCCATGGGGTTCATATTTACAATAACATTTGAGAAGCACTGGTGTAGGAGATATTTCACCTAATAGAGTTTCTTTTGCATTTAAAACACATGGAAACCCCTTTTCATTGTCTCAGATACATACTTTGATGGAGTGTACAACTTTAGGAGTTGGTAAGATTTCCCCATCAGCCAGAAAAACATTGCCTTACATAACAAAGTCAGTTTCTCTGAAGAAATTGTCATTATTTGTTAAAGAAATTTATGCACCTGAATCTAGGTAGAAATCAAATGATGGTTTTTCCAAAAGTAAGCTTAAAGCAACCACCCTCCATCTGTGAATCAGCCTCACCCCTCATAGCTCTGACCTTTCCTGTGGACAGTTCTGGCATTTGCGTTGGCCTCTCAGCCTTCCCCAGATGAAAATACCTGTTTTGTTATCTATTCTTTTCTATAAGGATGCTTATCTTGAGTTGCTTCTTTCTGTTACTCCTACTGTCTTTGAAAGGTAACTTCAATTTCCCAATTTTTTCCTCTCATACTTCTTCTTTGCAATTATATTCATCCATCACTCTGTCCTTAGCATAGTTTAACCTTAGTTTTACTCAGCTCTTGTTTCAAGAATACTAATGAGATAAATATAAAAGGCTACAAATCAACAATTCCATAGCCATTTGTTCATTCTGTAATTCTGTTCAGTTATCCCAGAGTCTTAAAGAGTGAACAGCACCTTTCTATTTTTTCTGACCCCTTTTAATATCTTTTCATATATGCATTATGACTAAATATTTGCATTTGAGCATCAATGTATTTTTTGGAGCTGTGCCCATCTACCTCTTTGCTTTGAGGATTTGAATATTCTCTAAAAGCAGACTTATACGTGAGGTCTAAGCTCTTGTTTTTCTCACTGGCCTTTCTTATGCTTAAAATATTCCACAGATTTTTCTTCAATAGCATCATCTCCAGTTCATTTTTTTTTATAGCAATTGGTTTGCATTGTTCTACTTTGCTTCTGAAAATTCAATAATGACATCCTTCCTTTTAAAATATGCTTTCCTTGCTGTACCTTTCAACACAGGCCAAACCATTTTTGTTTGCTCTCACTACCGTAACTTGCCTCCAGTGTGTCAGAGGACACGTCCTGTTAGCAGACCTAACAGGCAATCACAAAGGGCTTGACGTCTCCTCGGAGTCCTTTCCTTAAAACTTCGTGGTCTAACAACACAATGTGGTTAAGCAAGGTGAAAAAAGGCAGGGGAGAAAACAGGAAATTATACTATCACAGGAAATTGTAGTAATAAAGTGAAAAGCCAAGGAAGCAACTGTCCAGCAAGTCATAAA